ATTGCGAGGATTGAAAGCTACAAGCGAGAACGCATGGCAGCAAAGAGACGTGGATTGCCTGGTTTGTACTTGTCATACAATATACAAGTACGCCCCAACGCTGAAGCCAAACAGCGGCACAGCACCCCATTTGAATCGGCGATCGAACAGCCCTGGCGTAGAAGAAGAACAAAGGAAGAAGGGAACCAGAACTGTTCAAACCTCCAGCACACTCTAGACTCAGCAGGGACACCTCGTCGCTGTCTGACCAAAGAGCGCGCGACGCGGCGGGGCGCGAGCTCACCCTCTTGACGGATAGCTCACTCGTGCTTTTAGGAGCAACAGTGGAGGAGCTCACGCGCGCGATCGAAGGTGGCGTTAGTTCGCCCAAACCGCACCTGCGTATGTTGGTGACCTCGTGCCGCAGACGTGGCGCCTGAAAGCCAGTCCTAAGCCTCAGGCGAAGCGATGGCCTCCGAGCCACGCGAAGGGCGAGGCGGAGGTGCAAGGACGCCTGGGCCTGGCAGGCTGGAGAAGGAGATGGATCGAGAAAGACCGCGAGGGATGCGCGCTCTTCTTGGCGCGATCGCCTCGAGGCTCACCACAATAAAGAATTGCTGGAACCGCTCCGTCCACGGCTGAAGGCCACTTCCTCGCTGGGAGTGCCAGGGGCCTCAGTCCCCTCAGCCTCGGCACTGCCCGCGGGCGAAGGCTGACCTGGCTCGCTGGCGGCAGCCGCGCGGAGGGCCGCGCTGGCGCGCTGGCGCTTGACCTTCTCCCCTGCGCCGCGCATCTTCTTCTTATGATTATTATCATTAGTAGTATTGTTATTCTTATTATTATTAGTAGTATTATCATTATTATTATTATGCTTCTTCTTCACCGAATTACTAATCGTATTATTAATAGTAGTATTATTATTCTTCTTATTATTATTAGTGTTATTATTATTCTTATTGTTATTAGTAGTAGTATTAGTATTATTGTTATTATTCGTATTATTATTACTCTTCTTCTTAATGTTATTATTAGTAGTAGTAGTATGATTAGTATTACTATTATCATTATTAGAATTATGATTATTAGTATTATTATTATTGTTATTCTTCTTCGTATTATTATTATCATTATTGTTATTCTCGCTGAGCAGGTCGTCGTCGGTCGCGCGCGTGGGCTCGTTCTTTTTCCCGCCCTTGCCCTTGCCCTTGTCCGACACGACCGCGGCGCGCCCGCGAGAGCCAATGGGCGCCACGACTCCCGCCCTCGCCCAGAGCGGGCGCGGCGCTGAAAGACGGCGCGGCGTCGGTCTCCAGCTCGAGACGCGAGCGGCACTGCCGTCGTCGAGCTCCGCCTCTCGGTCGACCTGGGCAGAATCCCTGGCGAGATGCGCAAACCGGGAGGTGCGCGCGGCACGCGTTTACCCTGCGGCGCAATGGCCGCGGCGCCGGCGGCGCTGGCCTCCGGGGGCCCAGCGGGCCGCTCTTGGAAGAGGGCGCGCCAGGGACCAACTCGTCAAATCCAGGAGAGGGCCTTGCCCGAACCCTGGCCACGAGCCTAGATTGGCGAGTGCCAGCATCGGCGGCGCTCTGCCCTCTGTCGCGCTGTCCACGAAGCCCACGCGGCTTGCGGCTTGGCGCTGCACGGGATCATGGGAAAATCGAGAGGAGAGACGAGGGAGCAGAGCACGGACGAGAGGGAGGACGCAAGGACATCCGAAGTAATGGAAAAGTGGGTCTCCCCCAAGGGCCTGGCACCCGAAAAGGGAAGGAGTTAACCCTTGTTTAAATCGGCGGGTCGTGGGCCACCCCTTGACTAAAGTACGGATCCAGAAGACCAGGACACACCCGGGAATTTCGCGAGCAACTGCATTGAGCCGAATGATGGATAGCACGGCCTGGGCCTCAGAAGTCGGGGTTAATTTTTTCAGCCGAGGAAGAAGAATGTGTGCAATGACCCACGTGTATTTCTCAGCAGCAGGGTGGTGTAAAGGAGGGCACGATATGTCTTGATCTGCGTACCTTTAACGAGCTCCTGAGGGACACGAGGAAGACACCATACTGAGTCGTAGTTACGCTTCAAATCCATGAAAATGCGATTCACGAAGACAGGCTGGGACACATACGTGAGGACATAGCCATCTCCATCTAGAGCGGTGTCAAGCATCTCCTGCGCAAGGCGGAACGAGACAGAGGCGACAGCAACACGATACACGGCGGCCCTATGTGTCATGTCCAAGCTTGGGGCAAGTACCTTCAAGCCCAGCCCCGTCAAGGTTGAGAAAGAGCTTGTGAGGCATCGCGCGCCTGAGCCCGCAGGACGGCCGCTGTGGGCAACCTTTCTTGATCCGAAGCATGCACTTCGTGGCGGGGCAGAACTGGGACACACAGCTGAGCAAGGGGAGAGACTTGGTGCTGTACAGGGCCAGGGACCCCACGAAACCTTTAGCCCAGCCCCGTCAAGGTTGAGAAAGAGCTTAGGAGGCATCGCGCGCCTGGGCCCGCAGGACAACCGCTGCAGGCAACCTTTCTCGATCCGAAGCATGCGCTTCGTGGCGGGGCAGCACTGGGACACATCGCTGAGCGAGGGGAGGGAGCTGGTGCTGTACAGGACCCGGGACCCCACGAAACTTGGCGGCGCGCACAAGGGGGTGGAGGGAGGGGGGGGGCTTCTTAGAAGGAGGAGAAGGCACGGCGGCTCTCTTCCCCCTCCCCCCACCCCCCTCTGCGCGTGGCTGAGAAACCTCGATGCAAACTTTTGGTATGCACAACCGATGCGTGGTACTTCTTGACGGGCCGCTCAAAAGACAACTCCTGGCCACGAATTCCGCGATAAACTCCTAGTTATGTTCCCGACGTAGCTCGCGCAGAAGCCAGAGAATCTGGTCGCGGTCAAACTCGCGAAGCAAGATAATCACACACACATCTCGATGTTGAGCATGAGCCCCCTAGAACATCCAGCATCACATACTTCACGGAGCAAAATGGGAAGAATAAGAATGATGTTGGATGAGTAGTGGCGAATGTCCTCGGCGAATACCGGCAAGTAGGAGAAAGGAGCAGGTAACGCATGTATGATATTCCTAGAGGTGGGGTCGAGAGTCAACGCAAGGATACTTCCAGACATCGGGCAGCCCTGTTTGACACCACGCAATATTGTATACCCAGGACGGCTGAGTCTCCAAAATAGATCCAGACAACCATGTTCATATAGGGGGCCTGAAGGGCCCTGATGATGAACGGAAGAACCCCCATGACCTCGAGGGTCCACCAAATGAAGGAGCGAGCAAGGGACGGAAAGGCGGCGCGGAAGTCCAGCAGCGCTGCACCAGCGTGCTGCTGGTCCATGGCTGCACTCCAGATGGCAAGCTGGACGTCGGCAGATAGTATGCTCTCTGTGATCTGCTGACCACGAATCAAGCCCCGCTGTTCCTGCACAGCGCTAGACGACATCTTGTTGGCAGCCTCATTGAAGAGGAGAGGCCTGGTCTCTTCAGGGGTCTTGGTTTGGGCATCTTGGGCGCCATCAATTTTCCTGGGGAGGCACACTTGAATACAATGGTTGAAGTCCTGAGGGAGGGAGCCATGCGAGAGTACCTCGCTCTACATATCTCAGAGAATGTCCCCACCAATTCCGTCAGCGGCAACGTAGGCGGAGCGCGGGATCCCGTGGGGGCCTTGCGTGGAGTCCTTGAGTCTGGAAACCATATGTCTGAATTGTTCCTGGGATAGGTTTCCAAGTAACCTCACGAAAAACAGGTTGAACCAATTCACCGAATCGCTCGAACCTGGACGGGCCGGGAACGAACGCACAATGCACCTTGCCCCAGTGAGAACAGAGCAGGTCCGCGCAACTCCGAGGGTCAGAGTGGGCCTTGCCGTCGGGATCCCGTACGGCGACCAGATGTACCCGACGTCGCAGAGGAGACCGTGCATCGCTTAGCTGCTGCAGCGTAGCGAGGCGTTGCTGACGAAAAGTCTCGGAGACGGTGCCAGGGTGAAGGAGTTCTTGACGATCGCTTTCGACGTGAAAGAGAAGGAGAAGGAGGAGGAGGAGGAGGAGGAGGAGGAGGAGGAAGAGGACCAGGGGGCGGGCGGAGGGAGGGAGGGAGAGGAGGCATGGAGGCAGGGAGGAGAGCAGGGAGGGAAGGAGCCCTCCAGCGCCAGCACCCGCTGGCCGGCCGCCCCCAGGGCCAGCGAAGGCAGCGGGTGGCCTGGAGGTCTGCCCTCAGCGCTGGAAGCACGGCCTGAACAAACTTCGGCTGGCTGAGGACGTCCTTCGGCAGCACGCCGAAGGAGCTCACGGCCTCGGCCCAGCCCAGGCGGCACGGCCCGAGAGAGGAGCACACACTGAACTGGTCGCTCTTCAAACACAGTGTTTCGGAGAGAGGGGAGGAGAAGAAGAATAAGGGTCGCACACTCAGACAGGTCCACGTCCTTCTTCCTCCCGCAACTCTTCTGATTGGCTTCCCCTTTCCTGTGAGGGGTAGGGGGAGGTGGAGGAACGAGGTGGGCCTGTATAGTTGTCCTCCTCCGAAAGACGAGGGGAGATCACGAATCACCGCAAGTTCGACACAGAATCCTGGTGGTAGAAACAGAACCACCTCCTGAATCTGGCGGCGCCCCAGTCGTCCGGGTGTTGCCCCAAACGAGCACACGCTGAACGCACGAGGCTTTGTGTGCGCGCGCATACAGAAACTCCAACGTCGCGATCCATCAATACGCATGCCCTGGAGATGTCGAACCCATCCTGGGTGACCAGCTTTTCGTCAAAATTGATTATTACAAAAATCCACAGACGAAGGCTGGCCCCATGGATGCTAGAAACACCATGGGAAACACTCTGCCTCAATCGATTGGTTTCAAGGCATCATCATCCTCATCATCATCCTCATCATCACCACCACCATCATCATCACCATCATCGTCGTCATCCTCATCATCATCATCGTCCTCGTCCTCGTCGTAGTCATCATCACGATGTACCAGTCATCATCGTCCTCGTCACCATCGCCATCGACAACCCAAAAACATCATCACCCTCCCCATGGTCATCCCCATCATCAGATGAATCCGCATTATCATCATCACCATCAACAACAGCAGCAACAACAACAACATCAACAATAGCAGCAACATCCTCATCACCATCATCATCATCATCATCATCATCATCATCATCAGCATCATCATCATCATCAGCAGCAGCAGCATCATGAACAGCAATGTTACTCTCATCACCACCATCATACTCATAATCCCCGTCGCTATCATTCTCTCACACCCTCATCCCCAACAACCTACTCCTCACGCTCCCCTTGCTCCTCTTGCCGCCAGGAGACCTCCAGCAGACGGTCGTCGTGCAGTGTGTGCAGGTGGCCCCAGTTGTCCATGCTGGCGCCGCTATCCAGGACCTCTCTCGGAGAGAGACATGGCGAACTTGAATAAGGGGAGGGGATGGAAAGATAAGTTCCATGAGAGTGAGAAGGAGACAACAACCAAAAGAAGAGGGAGAGATGTAGAGAGGGAGAGAGGAAAAGATGGAAGAGGGAAACGGAGAGGGACGGGGAGGGGACAAAAGAGAGACCTTGAGAGCAGGAGAGCGGGAGACGAGGAGGGCAGAAGACAGCAGGGAAGAGGGGGAAGGCGGGATCAGCAGGAAGTACGCAGACAGGGAGAGAGGAAGAATGGACGGGGGCAGAGGGGCTGCGGAGGGGAGGCGAAGGGCGAGGACAGGGGGGGAGAGAGAAGGGGACGACAGGAGAGACGAGGGGCAGGGAAGGGCGGCGTGGCGGCGGGGTCCGCCGTCCGTCCAGCAGCGCCCCCCTCCCCTTCCCCCCCCCCCTCCTTCCCTTCCCCTCCCCCCCCCTTCCTCCTTCCCCTCCCCTCCCCCCCTTCCCTCCCCCCCCCAGCTTCCTCCTTCCCCTCGCCCCCCTCCTCCACCCGGCGCTCCGCGAGGGCGGACTGGCTGCAGTGGGGGGGGGGGTCAGGCCAGCCCCGCCCTCGGGACGGCGCCTCCAGCCCCGCCCCCCACCCCCAGAGCGCCGGCGGCGAGGGAGGGGGCGACGGCCGGGCAGGGCAGGGAAGGGCAGGGCAAAGGACGAGGCGACGACTGGCGACGACGACGACGTGGACGACGACGACGACGACGACGACGACGACTGGCGACGACTGGCGACGACTGACGACGACGACGACGACGACGACGACGACGACGACGACGACGACGACGACGCCGACGCCGACGCCGACGCCGACGCCGACGCCGACGCCGACGCCGACGCCGACGACGACGACGACGACGACGACGACGACGACGACGACGACGACGACGACGACGACAACTGCCGACGACTGCCGACGACGACGGCGACGACGGCGACGGCGAAACGGGAAGCCGGGAACGGGGACAGGCAACGGGGAGGAGGAGCTGGGAAAGAAGAGGAGCGACGGGAAGGGCGGGGGTGGGGGACGGGGGGGAGGGTGGAAGTCGAGGCCGCCCCGCCCCCCTGCGGGGCCCTGCCCATCGCGCCCGACGCCTCGGCGGGGCGCCCACGAGCCGCAGGCCGACCCTCGGGCCCCCGACGGCAACGGCGGCGGCCCCTCGACACGCCGTGGCGCCCGCGGCCGGCAGGCGCGGCGGTGGCGGCTGGCGGCGGCGCACCGTGGCTGGCGGCCCGTGGCCGCTAACGAAGACGTGCACCGGGCGAGGGCGGGCCGCGGCGAGCTCCTCGTCGAGGCGCCTCCGGGCCGCCAGGGCGAGGAAACGAGGCGAAGCGAGCGAGGGCGAGCGAGCGGGCGAGCGAGCGGGCGAGGGCGGAGGCACCACAAAGGCTCTCTGCCGCACGGGTGGGGACCTCCTACTCATCACGCTATATTCGTTAAGATCCTTGTCCCGTTCCCCACCTGGCCCTC